AATTTGATTAATAATTCGAAGTAAATAATTATGTCATAAAATAAGTTAAAAATAGAAATGATGTAATGATCTACATGATGTGCAACCATTGCAATAAATATACAAAGATGATTGTTAATCGTGATGTAATATTCAGCGCATCACATAACTTCCATAGTAAGTTCGTTCTAATTGGTCAATATTAACGGTCAATTGGTTGGTCCACGGTTTACAATCTCACAGTAGAAAAAGTTGAAAATAAAGCTTTGCCAATAATAAATTGATGATAAAATTATTGATAAAAATAAAGATAATCAATAGCAAGGTTATGGGTAAGATTTTAGAAAAGAATGAAAGGCTTTTAGATAAAGATAAAGAAATCAATAAAGATAAATACATCACCAGAAAATAATAGCAGAAATGAGAAATTTTTATGTGATGGCAAGTGGTTACTTACTTTTTACATTGACTGATTCTGCTTTAAGAATGATTGTATTATTAGAATTATTTAATGTAAATATAATGTGATTTTCTCATTGATTGATTTTTTTGATTTGCTTTCTAATAAAAATAAAATATCTATAATGATTTACTTATTATTTTTTTTTTCAAATTTCCTTCATGTTTATATTATATGAATTTATTTGGAGGATAATGGGATCAAGACTAGGATTGATGTTTTGTTTGTTTGTTTGTTTGGCAGCACAATTAATTGGAATAGCCATATTATGTGGATTACAAGTTGATTGGAATAAAGTAGTGGTGATTGTTTATATAATCATTGCACAAGGTTTTAATGGTGTTGCAAAAGATCAGATCAAGATAGGTGGTAAACCAGTCACAAAACTAGTAACAAATGATCAAGAAAAATCTAGATTGTTCAAATTGGTCACTTGGTTGACTGGCACAAAAAACTCAGTTAAAGGTGGGTGTGTTGGCTTCTTTTGGGGTGCTTTCCTCTTGAATTTTATTCAATATATTTCATCATTGATTGTTTTATTGTTGATGGACTTGATTGTTATGCTACCTGCTTGGTTTTATCTTGATAGAAATTTGGTTGCATCCAATCAAAGAAAAAATTAACTTTGTAACAAATCTTTTTTAAAGGAAGAGATGTAAACATATTATCTCTTGCTAAAATGTTTTTGTTTGGAGCATGTGATTTATAGTTTTAAGTAGAGATGGGCAGATCAGTACTATACGTATAGTGCATATAGTTCTAGAAAAATATAGTAGTAAATGTAAATCAATTCCTGTTTAGGTTATTGCCAAATAATAG